TGTGTGTGTGTGTGTGTGTGTGTGTCTGTGTCTGTGTGTGTGTCTGTGTCTGTGTGTGTGTGTGTCTCTGTGTGTGTGTGTGTGTGTGTGATTTGTTTGAAGTGGTTAAGTGTTGTTCAGTGGTAGATCCCTCGCCTAGAGTGCACAAAGCCTGCTTTTGAGCCCCAGCACCACCAGAATGAAGTTGTTTTTCGCCTCTCCGTCATATCCCCGCTCTGGAAAGCTGCTGACCTTTGCTTGGCTTCCTGCCCGCCGTGCTCTGTCTTACTCACGACCATTTTACTTCACCAGAGAACAGGAAACGGCCAGGGTGATACCAGTCATTTTAACCTAACCCAGGCTAAATGGTTTCTGTCCTGGTTGTTCCCTAGTTTACTTTTATTATCCGTGGATCACATCCTGTGTTTCCTGCATACAATTGAGGATGAAAAGGGAATGGAAATGGCCTGTAACGGGAATACACTTGATGTTTCTGCCTTTCCGTACAGCAGTTTTCGGGTTTTACTTTTGTATTTCATTTTATTTCTTTTTTATTTTTCTTCATTAGTATTTTCTTCTTGGTTGATATTTGTTTTCTCTTCAACAGGCAGTGATGGTGTCAGAAAACTTTAATATAGAAGCCCCCAACTACTTGTCCAAAGAATCCGAGGTCCTCATCTATGCACGACAAGATGCACAGTGCATCGATTGCTTCCAGGCCTTTTTGCCTGTGCACTATCGCTATCATCGGCCGCATAGGAAAGATGGAGACACCCTGATTGTGGTCAACAACCCAGAGTTACTGATGTACTGTGACCAAGGTGAGGGTTGAAACGAAGAGTCGAGGTGTGGTGGCAGGCCTTAGTCCGGGACAGGAACGGCACAGGCGCCTTCCTTGGTCAACCTGTAGTGATCTGTTGTAAGACAGGTACCTCTGAGCACCACCTAGGGCAGGAAGTGGAACTTCACAGGCCTGTAAGGTGGCTCGGCAGCCAAGGCGCTTGCTGGGCCTGACCAGCCGCATGCATGATCCACAGACCCACATGGTGGAGGGAGAGCCCAGCTCCTGCGTGTTGTTCCCTGACCTCCATATGTGCAGGGTGCACATGTGTGTACACACACACACACACACACACACACACACACACACACACACCTGTAACAAAACATTTAAAAAAAAAAAAAAACAACTTTTGCACCTACTCTGGCAGCTAGCCCATGCGTTCTGTCTCTATTACAGTCTCCTCTTTCCTCTGTAAGACTGACTGACTTTCCTGACTGGAACACTTGCTTCCTCTCTGAAGGTTTTTAACGTTCTGTGTGTGTTTGTGTGTCTCTGTGTGGGTATGTGAACCTGTGAGTACAGTGCCCAGGAGCCAGAAACAGGTGTCATATCTAAGAACCAGAATTAAAGGCAGTTGTGAGTCACCCACCATGCATGCTGGGAACCAGGTTCTCAGGTTCTGTGGAAGAGCGAGAAGTGTTTGTAATCTCTGAGCCTTCTTTCCATCCCCAACCCTCACTTCTTTAATGGGCATGATTCTTTTTGGGGGGCGATTTCGAGACAGAGTTTCTTTGTGTATCCTTGGCTGTCCTGGAACTCACTCGGTAGACCAGGCTGGCTTCCAACTCAAGAGATCCACATGCCGAGTGCTGAGATAAAAGGTGTGCTCGGGGCTGGAGAGATGGCTCAGAGGTTAAGAGCACCGGCTGCTTTTCCAGAGGTCCTGAGTTCAATTTCCAGCACCCACATGGTGGCTCACAACCATCTGTAACAAGATCTGGTGCCCTCTTCTGGCTTGCAGGCATACGTGCAAGCGGAAAACTGTATACATAATAAATAAATTAATTAATTTAAAAAAAAAGTGTGCGGCAGTACCACCACCTGGCAGTGAGCATGATTCTTAAATACTATAATTTTAGTCTTGTCCATAACAACAAGAACAACAAAATGTTGTTTCTATTAAGTCTCTTTAGTTTCAAGTTTCCCTTGTATCTCTCTTTTCTTTGAAATTCTTTTGGAAGGCCCACTGGCCTGAAGGTTTCTTTCTTATGGTTTGGGCCCTGGTGATTGCACTCATGTAAAACTCTTTATTTCCTGGAAGTGGCTAATGACTCCAGAGATAGGATCAGATTCATTCATATTTGGTTCCTTTGGTAAGACCATAGGTCATACTAAGTTCTTTTATGAGTAGACATGTAATATCTGGTCCTCTCTCTTTTCAGGGGAAGGGAATGAGAGAGGATCTTCCTGTGTAGGACACTCTTGTCTTAAACTTTCTTTGTAGCTCACAGCCCAGCCTTGAAAGTCTTGATCCTCTTGCCCCATATTTCTGAGTGTTGTCTCCTTTTTATAGTGGTCTACCTCCCCTTTGCTTCTTTCTGTTTTGTTTTTAGACTTATTTTATGTATGAGCGTTTGCCTGCATGTATGTATGTGCACCACATATGTGCCTATAGGTGTTTGTGAGCTACCAACCATATGGGTGCTGGGCACTAGACTTGGATCCTCTGTAAGAAGAGCAAATGCTCTTGAACTGCAGAGACCAGTCCCTGCTTTCTGTGTTTAAAACTGGCTTATAGGACTTCGAGAGGCTTGTGCTTTGTTTCTTCTGTCCTGTGCTGTGTTGGTGGGGATACTTGCTCGCCTACACTGGTTGCAGACTTAGTTCGTGAGCTTTGGGACTCACTCTGCAGTTCTGTTTTTATGTGGAGATTTGGGTAACTTACAAAACTATTCTTGCTGGGTTTGGTGGTGCTCACCTGTAATCCCAGTCCCCTGGTGGCTAAGATAGGAGGATGAAGACTTTGAAGGCATTTGGACTGGGCAGTGAGCCCCTGTCTCAAAAATACAAAAGGATGTAGAGACGGGAGGGTCAGGAGTTGAAGACCATCCTCGCCCAAGGCCGGTTTAGGTTACGGGAAATTGTTGTCAAACAAGGCTAAAAGTCCTGTTCTTTGACTGTTTCTTCACAGTGTCTCAGAGTCGAGGTCTTTTTTGTAGTTTGAGAAGCTCTTTCAAATTTTGATTCTTCCTAGTCTTTAAATGTGGGTTACTTTTAGAAAAGCTAACAGCACTGTTACTAATAACCAGTAGAGAGAATTTTTAATCTTATGTTATCACTGGGAAGCCTTTCCTTATGAGAATATTCAAGGCTTTTTCGTTCTATTCACTTTCTTTATCCAGTCATGTTTTCTGTTCCCATTAATGACACCATTACTTGTCCTAAATAAGCTATGAAGAAGTGTTTCTCCTGAGAGAACACAGAGAATTCTGATAGTTTGTTTTGATCTGAGTGCTCTTTGTGTTAATGTTTGATAAGAAAATTTATCAGGCTGTGTACTGAAGATATGTTCATTTTTCTGAATATAATTCATATCCTTCAGAAGAGGTTTTTGAAACAATGTCTTTTTTTTTCTGAAGTGATGCTTCAAAAAAGGTAACATTACATTTTTAATGAAATCTGTTAACAAAATATGTTTCACTTCTGTGATCACGACTGCAATTCCATATTTCTTGGGCATCCACATAAGAAAGGACATCAGCATACCAGCATATGATGGATGTGGGTTCAAATCATCTGTGCTGTGTGTTTAAATGTTTGAATTCTCATATCCTAGCATGCATGATTCCCGCCCGGTGAAGTACAGGACAAGCTACAGCCTTGAATCCAAATGTGAGTTTTCTGATATCGTGTTCTCTCCCTTTTTTCAGAGTTCCCTGTTTTGAAATGCTGGGCTCAGTCAAAAGTGGCAGCTCCCTGTGCTTTGAAAAGTGAAGAGATCTGCCAGTGGAACAGCATGCAGTATAAATCAGTAAGATGCTTTATGCTGCTCTAAAATTGCACTACCTCGATTCCAAGTCTTTCTGTCAAGGGTTAGCGTGCTGTAGTCCAATACAGAGCACTTGTGTTGTTTTAATATTGTTTCTTTGCTACTGATGGCTCCGGTGGGTAAAGTCAGTATTCTTTGAATTGGGAGCTGGTGGTGAGTGAGTCCAGGCCCCATTGGTTCAGAGTGTCGGTGTAGCGGGTATACTTTGTAAAGGTGTGAAATGGTAAAGAAAGACAGTGCAGAACCATTCAGTTTTCCTTCAGCAGAAGATCAGAAATTTAAGGCCACCCTCGGCTGTATAGTGAGTTTAAGGCCACTCTGGGCATGAAAACCTGTGTCAGAATAACACAAAACCAAAAAAAAAGAACGTACTGTTTTTAGAAAAGGAGGTCCCAGGATGTAGGTTACTGATAGAGTGCTTGATAGCATCTGAAAGACACTGGGTTTGTACCTCAAAATATAAAATTTAAAATGGAGAAAAGGCCAAATACTATATAACATGTCTATAATCCCAGCACTCAGGAGGTTATAGCACAAGGAATGTGAGTCCCAGGCCAGCCTGGACTACATAGGGAGTTCGAGGTTAGATCCTGTGTAGGGGACCAGCCCTCACACTTATTTACCCCAGGAACTCTTGAGGAATGAGGGATAAGAGACTTAGTTAGAAATAGAGAGAGATAAAAACACAGGAAAGACTCAGGTGGGCCTGGATCCTTATCCACCGGCCCAGAACTTTATTCCAAAGGTCTGTTTATAACAATGCCAAGGGGTGGAGCAAAAGACCTCCCCCTTGCTAGTTAGACCCTTACAAACACCAGGTACCCAGGCCCATGGTCCAATCAACCTCCCATATAGTCCTGCTGGGTACAGTCACTAGGAAACCTAGTGGGTTCCAACAACTCTGTCTCTTTCTTTTTAATTTTCCTTGTTATTTTGTGTGTGTGTGTGTGTGTGTGTGTGTGTGTGTGTGTGTGTGTGTGTGTGTGTAGGTCAGAGACACTTTTAGGAGTTAGTTATCTCCTTCTACCCAGGGTTTCTTTCTCTTGTGATTTTTTTTTTTTTTTTTTTTTTCTGAGACAGGGTTTCTCTGTGTAACGTCCCTGGCTGTCCTAGAACTTGCTCTGTAGACCACGCTGGCATTGATCTCAGATCCGCCTACCTCTGCTCCTAAGTGCTGGGTTAAAGGCATGCGCTACCATGGCCTGGCACAGCAAGGGTTCCTTTCACTGTGGGTTTGGAGCTCAAACTCGGGATATCAGACTTGGACAGCAAGTACATGCTTTTACCTGCTGAGCTATCTTGTCAGCAAGACCCTGTCTTTTAAGAAAAAAAAGTTAGAATTAATGTAAACTTTTGAGTTATGAGAATCAAAGAAATAGTCTCACCATGAGATATGCATTTAAGTGAATGTAAGTTTTCTTGGTTTTTGGTTTTGTTTGTTTGTTTGTTTTTTTCTTTTGAGACAGGGTTTCTCTATGTAGCCCTGGCTGTCCTGGAACAAGTTCTGTAGATCAGACTGGTCTCAAACTAAGAGATCTGCCTGACTTTGTCTCCCAAGTGTTGAGATCAAAGGTAGGAGCCACCACACCTGACTAAGAAAACTTTTAACAATAAAAAATAATCTTTTAAAAAAGAAAAGAAAGCTGGGTGGTGGTGGCATATGCCTTTAATCTCAGTACTCAGAGGCAGGTAGATCTCTTGAGTTTGAGGCCAACCTGGTCTGCAGAGCCAGTTCTTGGACAGCCAGGGCTGTTACACAGAGAAATCCTGTCTTGAAACACACACACACACACACACACACACACACACACACACACACACACACATTTCTTTACACAATGTATATAGATAATATCTATCTATCTACCACTATGCCCCTCCAGCTCCCCCTAATGCCACACACCCTCCCAAGTTCATGTCCTCTTTTTTTTTTTTTTTTTCCGAGATAGGGTTTCTCTGTGTAGGTTTGAACCTTTCCTGGAACTCGCTCTGTAGCCCAGACTGACCTCAAACTCACAGAGATCCCCCTGCCTCTGCCTCCCGAGTGCTGGGATTAAAGGCATGCGCCACAGCCGCCTGACTTTCATGTCCTCTGTTTAAGAAAATATTTATAACCTGATGAATCTAGTCAGTGCTGTCCATGTACACATGGATGTGTGGCTGTGTGGCCATCTGCAGGGGCATGAGCAACCTGCCAGTGACATGTCCCCAAAGGACAGTAACTTCCTCCCTTAGCAGCCACCAACTGCCTATAGCTCCTCCACTAGCAGTGGGGCCTCAGAGTCCCCTCCCCCAACTGTGCTGCAGATGTGACTGGCTTGATCTTGCACATGTCTTGTGCATGTAATTCCAGCTGCTGTGAGCTGATACAGGCAACAGCCATGTCCTGTCCAGAAGTATGCATTCAAAGCTGTCTTCCACATATTCTGGCTCTTACATTCTTTCTGCCCTTCTTCTGAGAAGTTCCTAGAGCCTTGAATGGTAGGAGCTTGATGTAGATGACCCGCAGAATTATTAAATGTCTCCGATTTTCTGTTTCTCCCTCTCCACAGATACTGAAGAATTTGACCCTGCAAGTTCCTGTGGGACTGACTATACACACCACTTTAGTGTGTTCTGTGACTCTGCTTATTACCATCCTGTGTTCTACTTTGATCCTGTTAGCTGTTTTCAAATATGGCCATTTTTCCCTGTAAGTTTTACATAGTTAGATGTTTTCTAGGAACCTAATAAATGAGATCTATTACTTTGTGACAAGAATTAACTGGCTATTTTGTCTTCATTTATTGGTAAAATTATGTTTCCAGGCAGGTCTCTGTCAGTTCATGGCCAGCCTGGTCTACATTGTTAGACCCTGTCTATAAAACAAACAACAAAAAAATTATGTTTCATACAGGAAATTTTGGGTCATTGCTAGCTAATTGCAAAATATAGTGTTCTGTGATGTGAGCGTCAAGTGCTCTTGGGTGGTCCAGTGGAGGAGGCTTCCTCGTGTGAGATAATACTTAGAAGTCGCTGTCTTCATTTGGTGTAGAATGAGTTCATTGTTCAGCTAGTTACTTGCATTTTATGTGCATCGATGTTTATGTGTGTCTGTGTGAGGGTGTTGGATCCCCCGGAACAGAAGCTGCAGACAGTTGTGAGCTGCTATCCAGGTGCTGGTAATGAACCCAGGTCCTCTGCAAGAGCAGCCAGTGCTCTTAACTGCTGAGCCAGCTCTCCAGCCCCGAGTTCATTATTAGTGTCAAATTGTTCTCATTTTGTGAATAGAATCTTTTAATTTACACTAAACACAGAGACACCCTTACAATTAAGAATAAAATAATTTGGGTGAAAATTAAAGTAATTTACAGTTGTTAAGAGCATTTGCTGGCTGGGTGGTGATGGCACACGCCTTCAATCTCAACACTTGGGAGGCAGAGGCAGGCAGATCTCTGAGTTCGAGTCCAACCTGGTCCTCAGAGTGAGTTCCAGGACAGCCAGGGCTACACAGAGAAACTCTGTCTCAAAAGACAAAAACAAAAACAAAAGCATTTCCTGATCTTGCAGAGGACCTGGGGTTCAATTCCTGTACTCACTTGGTGGCCCACAAGCATCTTTAACTCCAGTCCCAGAGGACCCAGGACCCTCTTCTGGCTTCCTCAGACACCAGGCACACAAGTGGTGCACGGACAGAACACCCACAGTCGTCAAATTAAAACAGAAATTAAATTCCAATTTCATGAAAATACTAAAGCTACTTACATAGAGTTTCTGAAAAAATAAAGTTGGCAATTAAGTAGTTATTAATGTAAGTCGGGCTAGGTGGCACGTGCCGATCCCAGCACTGGGAGGTAGAGGCAGGCAAATGTCTTAAGTTTGAGGCCAGCCTGGGCTACAGCACTGGTCCAGGGCTCTCACCCACTGAGCCATTTCTTAAGCCAATAGTCACTGTATTTCCTTTGACTATACAGATTAGCAGAAGGTTTGGGGAAAGTGAGCACTAGGACTTATGGATGAGTTTGTCAGATGCCTCATCTATTAACTCAGTTTTAGTTTTTTGAGACAAGAGCTCATGTGTTCCAGACTGGCCTGAAACTGGCTAAATATATGAAAATGATATGGAACTCCTGACCCTCCTGCCTTTGTCTCTCAAATGTTGTAATTACACATGTTGCCACCACCTCTGGCTCAGATTGTCATTTGAAGAAATATGTTTTGGCTGGAGAGATGGCTCAGCAGTTAAGAGCACCGACTGTTCTTCCAGAGGACCGGGGATCAATTCTCAGCACCCACATGGCAGCTCACAACTGTCTATAATTCCAAGATCTGACACCCTCACACAGACATGCATGCAGGCGGGCAGAACACTACACCAATGCACATAAAATAAAAATAAATAAGTAAATATGTTTTATGAAATTACATATTTACAAAAAAAGAAATCTTCAGGTGATTTTTTTTTTAATGTGATTTTCTTTTTAAAACAGTTTTGATTTCGGGTTACACTTGGTGGAAACAAAATAGGAACATAAATGCTACAGGCTAATCAACAAACACACTACAGCTAAGGGAGATGGTTGTCAGTGGAGTGCTCATATGCACACACACGTGAAGACTGAGTTCACTCCCCAACACCCCTTGAGACACTGTGATGAATGCTTGTCGTTTCAGGCCTGAGGGCAGAGATTCCCACGCCGGCCCAGACTGATTGGTGAGCCCCAGGTCCCAGAGAAGAAATTTGGCTCAAAAAACAAAAACAAAAGCACTAGGTGGATGGCTCCTGGGGAATATCCACCCAAGATTGACTTCCAGTCTCTACAGACATGGGCACGCACGCACGCACGCACGCACGCACGCACGCACGCACGCACGCACGCGCACACACACCTACCCTTTAGAGTAAGAATGTTGACTGGGTGTGGGTTCACGCCTTTAATCCCAGCACTTGAGAGGCTGGGATTATTTTTATATTGAGTAATGGGAGATGATTAAGTGTTTATATACATATAATTACCTACTTTTCCAAAGTATTTTAGTGTTTTTATGAGAATAAATCTTTTATAATTTTACACTTATGATTTGATTTGTCACAACAACTCTTATTGAAGTCATATTTGGATTTAAATATTAGAAGAGGCAACCTAGTGCTATAAAATTAGAAAATTAGAACTTTTGTTTTTTAATTTTGGTTTCTCCTACCCCTGCCTCTGCCTCGCAAGTGCTGGGATTAAAGGCGTGTGCCACCACCAGAAATCTATAAAGTTTCAACCCAATCTAGTTCCATACCTGTTTTGTGTTTTTGTATAAGAATTCCAGGCTGGGTGTGGTAGCACCTGACTGTAGTTTTGTGCTAGGGTTCTAAGTCAAAAGAAGGAGCAGGACTTTGAGGGTTAGTTTGGACTACATAGCAAGACTCTGTTTCATGTATATATGTATTTCATATGTATTTGAAATGCAAATATATATTTGATATTAATGTACATGATATAAAGAAAAGTATTTTTTAAAATAGTGGTTCTTTTCTTTTTTTAAAATTTGTATTTATGTGCATTGGTGTTTTGCCTCCATGTATGTCTGTTTGAGGGTGTCAGGTACCCTGGAACTGGAATTACAGACAGCCGTCAGCTGCCATGTGGATGCTGGGAATTGAACCTAGTTCCTCTGGAAGAACAGCCAGTGCTCCTCACTGCTGAGCCTTCTCTCCAGCCCTCTCAGCCTATGCTTTACAAGTGTGAACTATGAGATTAATAGTGTGACATTGAAATGGGATTACTTTTTTTTTTTTGGAGTGGGGATATGACATTTATTGAGTTTATCTGCTAGAGTGGAAATAATGTCTATAAACATCCAAATGTTTGTTATTATACTTCCATAACACAATTAAAATCCAGGTGTTTTCTGCTGGGTGGTGGTGGCACACTCCTTTAGTCGAAGCACTCTGGAAGCAGAAACAGGTGGATGTCTGTGAGTTCAAGGACAGCCAGGAGTACACAGAGAAACTCTTGACTGGGGATGGCATCCAAGTGTTTTGTTTTGTTTTTTTGTTTTTGGAGACAGGGTTTCTCTGTGTAGCTTTTCACCTTTCCTGGAACTCACTCTGTAGACCAGGCTGGCCTTGAACTCACAGAGATCCACCTGCCTCTGCCTCCCGAGTGCTGGGATTAAAGGCTTACACGACCACCGCCCGGCACAAGTGGTTTTTAAAAAATAGTAAATTCAATCAAAACGCATTACTTCAGAATCAATAGTTTCAGTCTGGAGAGATGGCTCAGAGGTTAAGAGCACTGGCTGCTCTTCCAGAGGTCCTGAGTTCAATTCCCAGCAACCACATGGTGACTCACAGCCATCCAAATGAGATCTGGTGTCCTCTTCTGGCGTGCAGGCATACATGCAGGCAGAATGTTGCATTCATAATAAATAAATAAATCTTCAGAATCAATAGTTTCTTTTAATTCACAATAATACTTAAATAGGATTTAAGAATTGAACGCAGAAATTTCATTGGTTGGTTGGTTGGAAAGCTGATTAAACTTCCAGCTTGCTCAAATAAAATCACAAAAAATCACAACTGTGTCTTTGAAGAGGCAGAGTCTACTGAGTGCACCAACACTGGACAGCCATCAGGAATTTATAGAGCTAGGCATAGTGGCTCATGCCTCTAGTTCCAGCACTTAGGAGGCAAAGGCAGGTGAATCTCTACGAATTAAAGGCCAGCTTGGTCTGCATAATGAGTTCCAGGACAGCCAGAATTTTATGTTTTTCTTTAGTGAGTTTGTGTTTAATGAGATCCTGTTATATTGTGTGTTTGTGTTTGGTGAGACCCTGTCCCAAAAATCAAACAAACAAACAAAAAACAAACAAACAGGCTATTTAGAGTGGGAATGGTGTTGGGGTTGATAGCTCCCACCTATAATCTCAGCACATAATAGTAGACAAAGATAATCAGGCTTTCAAGACTAGCCTTCACTATATAGCCAATTCAAGGTCAGCCTGGACTACACAAAACCTATTCCCTCCTTAAAAAAAAGAGAATTTAGTGTCCTGAGATAATACTTACCAAGCATCCAAGACATTTCCTTTGTTGCCCTTTCTTCCCGGTTACAGATTTGTGAAGGTGTAGCATGGTGCCACTGGCCTCTATCAGAGTCCAGTTCCTCATCTCCACCAGTAACAAGTTGCAAGTGATGTGGGGTGCTAGGCCTCACATTTCAGTCTTTGGTATGTTTCCTGCCGCTTCTGATACCTCTGCAGTGAGGTACTCCAGGACGACTACAGCTTTTGATACCTCTGCAGTGAGGTACTCGAGGACAACTGCAGCTTCTGATACCTCTGCAGTGAGGTACTCCACGACGACTGCGATGTTCTCAGCAGCAGCTGAGCCTGTCCACAGATGGTCATTCTAGATTTCAGGGGTAGGTGAATGGAGGGAATTGCAAGCTGGCTTGCTCTGAGTGGGAAATCATTTTTGTCTTGGTCTTTCTAGAGCAGTGTTTTTGTTTTGTTTTGTTTTGTTTGTTTGTTTGTTTTGGTTTTTCAAGACAGGGTTTCTCTGTGTAGCTTTGGTTCCTGTCCTGGATCTCACTCTGTAGACCACGCTGGCCTCGAACTCACAGAGATCCGCCTGGCTCTGCCTCCCAAGTGCTGGGATTAAAGGCATGCACCATCAACACCCAGCCTTAGAGCAGTGGTTTTCAACCTATGGGCCTTGACCCCCAAAGACCATCGGAAAACACAGATATTTACATCATTGGATTTATCACAGTACCAAAATTACAGCT